ATTTTACTCCATTATCATATAATGATCAATTAATAAGTCTCGAACAAGCACAAATTCTTGGATCAATTCGACGAATAATTCAAAATATGAATCTTATCATTCGTGTCACGGACAAAGGAAATAATTTTTATATTGGTTCAGCTGTTGAATTTGAAAAAAAAGCTCAAAAATTTTTCTCTGATACAAATGCTTTTATAGAATTATCTGACAATCCATTCAATGAAATATTAGATAAAGTTATACAATTGCTCAATACACTTCGTGGAAAAAATTTTATTCGTAAATGGCAATATGAACAAATGATGCCTGATCGAACAAATTGTGAATTAGCTCATTTATATTTTAATCCTAAAACACATAAGGTAATTTTTCTTAAAGTTTTTGTTAATATTTAATTTTTTTATTTCTCCTTTTATAGGATGGTATACCAGTTCGACCTATTGAAAGTACTATTCATGCTGCAACCACAAAAATTTCAAAATTTTTAGACAAAATTTTACGACCAATATTCGATGCTAAATGTAAAGATACAACTATTATTGATGGTGCTTCTTTAATTACTGAACTTTCAAAATATAACAAAAAAGGTCTCTTAAAATCAACAACTCTTTTTTGTACATTTGACATTCGTAATTTATATACAATGTTACCACAAGAAGAAACATTAGATATTCTTATGACATTTCTTCATGCTCATGGTTATAGAAAAGTGAAGGGAATTAGCATTGATACAATAAAAAAATTAGCTTCCATTATTCTCAAAGACAATGTATTTGCTTATGGTAAAAAAAATTATAAACAAACAACTGGTGGTGCTATGGGTTCATCATTGACATTAACTTTGGCTAATATTTTCATGTCAGCATGGCAAAAAAAAATTGTTGAAGAACAAACCAAGACAGGCGAATTTTATGGACGGTAAGTGACTCAAAATTTGAAAATAAAACCACGACTATTATCTAATTTTTTTCTTTCTAGATATATTGATGATATTTTTATGACATGGAATAGATCTGAAGAAGAATTAAGAAAATTATTAGATGATGCGAATACATGGCATCCAAATATTAAATTAGACTATAAAATTGGTTATAATCTTCCATTTCTTGATGTACAACTTACAAATAATAATGGTATACTATTAACATCTGTCTATCATAAGCCTGCAGCTGAACCATGTATTACACCATTTACATCTGATCATCCTCGACATGTTTTTGCAAATACTATTAAACATTTTCTTGAACGTGCAGTAAGATATTCATCAACATTCGAAGCATTTAATTATGAACGACGTAACATTAAATTGATGTTACTATACAATGAGTAAGTCTTTATTTCACCGCTAATTAAACTACTAATTCTATTTCAATCGTACACTATTTAGTTATCCATCAACATTTATTGAAAATGGACTTCAAAAATATGTTTTCGAATATATATCAAAATCACCATTTCTACCATTAATAAATGATGAACAAAAATATTTTCTAATGCGAAAACACATATTAGGTCAGCCAACACCTCGACAATCACAAGTGGCATTGAGTGCAGCATTGGCCGATATTGACAACGATCCGCCAGATGATGAAAAACAACAACCAGATCCATACAAAACCAAATCGGAAGAAAAAATTTCAAACTATGACGAGAAATTCTTTACTCATTTTACTTATGAAAAACGTTTCGAAACATGCAAACGAGATATGCATAAAGTATACAATAATGTATTTAAAGATACACCAGCAATGTATACAAGACAAATCATCGGTCATCGCATCCGTCGTCAAGCACACGATGAATTAATACACAAACGACCAAACAAAACATTCTTACAAAATACAATAATAAATAAAAGTAAGTCAAACAATTCTAACACAATAATGACTTCTCCAATTTCTTTCTATGACAAATTCTAAAATATTCCTCTATCATTAATTAGGCAAATTCAAAAAACCAAACAAAACTACAAATATCACCAATGATACAAAAAAACAAACACCAATGAAAACCAAGCTGATCTACTCTCAAGGATTCCTGAAAAATAAACAATAAAGGGACATTCATAAACATTTCGCTAACAAATCCAATTCCATCATGTACTCATGAATGCCCTAAAACAATTTAACAAAAAACTAAATAAAAATTTCTAGGACTCTAATCTGATCAATTTTCCGATAAACCTCTCAATTTCTTTTCTTTTTCAGATATGTCACTACGAATAATTCAAACAAAAATATTATAAAGCAACTCCAACATCAAAAATCGAATCAAAAGGCCTTGGTAGCTGTTCGCACTACTGAATAATGAATTTTATCAACTTATATATATTGAGTTTTAATTCTATATATAAGTCAGAGATAAATTAATCTTTTTTGATTTTGAATAATTTTTCGTTTTGAAATTTCTTTTTGGAATTTCATTATGGACTTTATTTCAAAATTTCATTAGGGTTATTTGCCAACTGAAGCGTCCCTTAAGCAAGGACGAAACCGGTCTTGGTAGCTGTTCACACCCACACCCACATTATTTTATCAATGTGCTATCATTTTCCCGACAACATACCGATATAAATCTAGGTGGTAATAACATCACTGTTCTATAGTATAGCATGAAGCATTGGCAAGAACCATACTAGTCGTAATATCACGAACCGATTCATTCCATTATGATTCAGATAAACACTTATTTTTCTCAACCAACAGATTACGTCCTTTCACAGTCATTTTTCCATAATGATTTCATTTTTTCATTTCTCCACGAACATTTTTCCTCGTGCTTTCAATATTATTCTCATTCAAAATCATTTTTCCTGCACTGTCTGTGTAATGACACTTTTATTGTATCGCGATTCGACTGTACGTAACAATGGTTGGGAGCATTTTTGACCGGGAAGAATTTTTCCGCTGCATTAAAGCATTTTGGTCACCGATCAGTTTAATGCCCAACCCTCATATCCTCAAGATAAATAGGAAAAAGAATGCTTCCATTTATTTAGAGCATTATATTTCGTTATGTATTGTAATATTTTCATCATGAATATAATTTATATGTAAGACTTCATGCTTTAAAGGCGACAACAGAACGTTCAATAATAGCAAATCCGATTGTTCATCAATGAAATATTATTTAATCAATGTAATATGATTAGTTTTAGGATTCAACTCTGATATATTTACCTAAAGACTTGTTAAAAAAAATCTATGCAAATTTCACTTGTGATGCTTTTTGCATAAATATGGAGAAGCTGTCTTTTTATTTTCATACGAACTTTCTTCACATCTAAGTTGCTTGTAGTAACAATAGAATATCTTAATAGAGTCGACATACAATGCATGAGTCTTCAGATCAGAAAAATGTCGAGCAAGAGTAAGAAAGACTTCTGACTTTGATTGTTAGTTATCTACTGTTCTTCTACTTCATTAGTACAAACTTGGATACATATATAAGCTCAACAAATAATGATTGAAAAATTTAAATGTAAATATCAAATAAAAACTCAAATGTTCAATGAATCATAAACGATATGATGATCTCATAGTTTGATTTGTTGAATGAACGACTAAAGCGACTACTCTTTATCACGCTTGTCCTTAGATTTGCATCAAGGGTTATTGTGATGTTAAACAACAAACAAAAGTGCAAAATGTGTGCTCATACAATAGAAAAATAATTTGCAAGTTATCTATTCATAAGTGCCTAGCAAGATATCTCACAATGGAGGTGTGTGTATTGTTGAGCGAAAAAGTGGCATAAATTTATGTCAAATGAAAGCTCTCATCGCTAAACTAACAAGGGTGTGCGGGTGTGGATGTGGGTGGGTGTGGATCGGTGTGAGTCTGGTGTGGGCGTGCGCTGATGTTAGTGTAGTCGTCTCCTTTACGACTGTCAAGTCAGACCTACTCCCACCTACACCCACACTCACACCCACACCCACACCGACACCCACACCCAGTTATCTGTGAACGACCAAGAATCTTTCATGAACTTCAAGATGATGTATGATGAAAGTAACTCTCTCGTGCTTTAATTTTTTTTTATTATCTCTGGCAGTCTCTTTCACAAACTTTCTTGTAGATATCAACGATCTTACTGGTTGTTCGGAAAATCAATTAACACCTATTGCTAACTTTGAAAAGCAATCAACACACTCGATATCATTAATACCATAGAACATGAACATTCCAGAAACAAATGGGCAGAATTAAAGATCTCATCAGTTAAGAAAATATTTCAACAAATGATATTCGTATTCTTTTTTATTTGATTGTATTTTTCGCAATTAACTTGTATTTGAGATTTTCGGTGTGTTTTCGTCATTTATAGTACGTTTATATTACATTTTATTTGATTCATTTCTTCTGCTTTGATTTCATGTCATTGATATATTACAATGTAAATCTTCATGATTATTTGTACGTATGTTGAAATTGTGATTTTTTCTTGTATATTGGTCTTTGAACTGGTTAATTGTTTTAATTATCATCTCATTAATCGTTGGTTCATATCATTCTTCTTTACAAGTGAAATGTATGAAGAATCGTAGCTGACTTCTGATTTCTTTTTATTTCTGCTTTATTTCTATTGTATCAGATAAAAATGGGTTTGATTTTTTAAAATAAAAGCTTATTGAACAGAAAAAATATTAGTCAATAAAAATAAAATGAAATCCCAATTAGATTAGGTCAAACTAGCGATAACGCCGTGATTGATATTCAAAAAAATCGGTGAAAAAATCGCGATTTATCGCAATAATCGCTGCAAATATCACAAAAAAACGGCGATTAATCGCCAATTTTTTCCCGGTTTCGAGAGCATGGGAGGGATCATGTGGAAGGCAAGCGATAAGAGATAGCGGTCAGAATAATAGATGAATATCGACAGCCATATCTCTGTCGAATTTCTTTTAATTGCATTACAAACGAGGGCGTGCGAATTTTTTTTTTTTTTTTTTTACATTCAGTAATAGGTAATTTTTGTGCCTTTTGTATGGTTCACAATTTCAAATATAGCTGTCTGTCATTTTTTATGTCTACACCGCAGTTTTTACATGCTATCGGATGGGTGGTCCGAGACAAGTAGCCGTTAGTGACTTGTCCAAGGTCATTCTATGTATGATGGCGCCGAGGTTCGAACACACTATCTTGTGGATATGTGTCGAACATCTTAACCATTCAGCCATAGCGGCTAGTTTCAGTTTACTGACAACTGAGATCACACAGAGATACTGAGCACTGCGTACTGGCTACACTGCACCGACAGCACTCTCACTGGAACTCAACTGACACCAAACATCACTGATGCATCCATTCATCAAGAATACGTAAATGCATAATTGCAGTGCAACTGCAGCACATCAGTGATGCTCAATGTTAGCGGAGTCCCAGTGAGACTGCTGTCTGTGCAGTGTAGTCAAAACTCAGTGCTCATTATCTCGGGTAATCTCAGTTATCAGTAAACTGAAACTACACACCCCTATCTGGGCGTATCGAATGATTTATTGTTTCATAGCTACTGTCCTTAACAATGAACGTATCGTTCTTCTTTTTTGCAATAAAATAAAATAAAATAAAATAAAATATATATTTTATATTTTTCGTCTAACAATATTTTTCATTGATTCGACATTTTTCTTCATTCGATCCGTTTCCTTTCGATTTTTGTTCGTTCGACATTTTTTCTTTCGATGTTTTCAATACATACCAAAAATATTTTCTATTCTGTGATAAAAAGAAGAATCAGACTTGTTTTTCAAGAAGTGCAAGAGTCTTTCCAGGTGACAGATTTCTTGTCTAGCCATCCAAGAGTCTGTCTACCGGATTCTGGTCTGATTGACAAGATCTTGTTGATCAGACAAGAAACTTACACGGAAGATATAGGGCAAGAATCTTTACAGATTTTTTAGCAAAAACAGAATCTGGACACAACAGAGCCAAGAACGTCGACTTGTGTAAATTTGTTTTGTTTTTCAATGTATAATTAATCCACCTATATATAAGTAGTAAAAATAGATCTAATTGGTTTTGTCTATAAAAATCTGTTGGAGTTCTCTGAGAACATTCAATAATTTTATTCCGTGTTTGCAAAAGAGATACATCTATACAAGTCAAGAATATGAAGAACCAAGAAAGACAAAACCTATTCTAAGTGATGTCATGTGATTTTTTTTTAATTAAAAAGACAATAATCATCTGAAGTCCGGAATGTCTATATTTAACTTTCTGTACAAATGTCGTTTAGACTCCTTCATAAATTGTCCTTGGCGAGCAAACCTAAGCCAAAGTAGAATCTGAACATACTCATTCTGATTGACTACTTTTGATATTCTACAGTAACTCAGAGGCGCTCGAAAATTGAACAAAAATCTTGTACAAAGATGTTCTACACATAGGTCAAACAAAGATGAGCGATCTACACAGATATATAGATAGAGATCCAGTGTAATGGATTTTACATAATGAATAAAAACTATTCTTCGTACTGCTATGGTTTGCAACCGAAAATCTTTTTCAGTCTACAAATTTCGATCATAAAATGGCATTCGTTAATTCTTCATTCAATTTGAAAGAACATTCGATTTCATTTATGTATTCGTAATATATACTTATGACAAATCTTATATTATTTAATATGTGATATGTTTTGACAACAAGGTTCAACGCAAGCGAATGTTTATGTATTTCATTTTTAATATATTAGTGTTCGCGATTTCACTTAAACCATATTATCATACATTTGGCGACTTAGACTGTTCATTAAACTATATTTTTCTTTTTCAAATATCTTTGTCATCTCATCTATCGTTTGATTTTATTGTGCAAAGTCATATGTACACAATTTTCTTTTCAGTCGATAATAAAGAAGAAAAACAGAACCTGATATTCTTTTTGAACAAGTCTTGAAATTACTCAGTAAAGAAATCGATCTAACTTGTGAATAGATACGAATTCACCGTGTCTTCGACCTGAACATAAGTTTCACATAAGAGTACTCAGTGGTCTCAAAGTTTTAAAAGAAAACCTTTGTTCATGCTTGTCACATCGGCGAATATTTTAGATGAATCAAACTCCATGAAGTACTAAGGATAGCTTTGTTTTATGTCAACGCAGAGACTAAAATTACACGTCACTTACACGAAAGAAATGAATTAGTCTTAGAAAAATCTGCAAAATTAATTTAGAAAAATATTTATCTGTGTGTGCTATTGTAATGCCATTAAGAGGGAGTGAATAATCTCGTTACGCTAATGGTAATACACCAATATGAATTGGATGGATATTATGATGTCAAAATCTCGATACCCAGTGTAACGGTATTATGGCATTTTTGGCCGATAATGACATCTAAAACTGAACTCTTCAAACTTGACCAATATAATAGGTGGTAGGAGAAAATCTACATCAGCAAGATTTCCTATTTCATTTGTCCTTTTTCTATGGGAAAAATATTTCAATTATTGTATATTATCGGTTGTTATTGAGGAAAACATTCGATTTATCATTCCAAGACATTTTAGATAGCAATAAACGTTAAAAAAAATTCTCTAGCTTCTATTAGCAAAAGACTGCTTTTATTTTAATAGCACATTCGCTATAGAAGTGGTCGGTCTTGAATAATTTACGTTTCGATAATTCGAAATCCTACGCAAAATAACTAAGAAATTTGAGAAAGAATATTTTTGTTAGCTTGTCAAATCTTAACCAGTATTTGAACATTTTAAATATTTTCTAGTTAATCGAAAATAGAAATAGAAATAGAAATCAAAATTTCAATTTCATATTTCGAACAAGCATATAATATGTTGGTTATTCGGCTTATTATATACGTCAAGTAGTTGATCATTCGTTTACTGATTCTAATAGTGCATGATATTTTATTCTTTTTTATTCTACAGTAGTTTTCTCCTTCTTTCTCTATACGTATATATGCTATTTCATCTTATCCAGATTGTTTTTTTCTCTCTTGATGTATAGTATAGTCTAGCTTGCTGGATTACGTAAACATCTTTTATTCTCTCTCTTTTCGTTTCTACACTATATTTACACGCGTATTTCAGTTGGTATCAGTTTATTTTATCTATTTAATTGGTGTTGCGATCACACACTTTTACTGTCCAAAATTTTTTTATCAACAAAGGAGAAAGTATAAAATACGAATTATCTTGTAATCATTGGAGCATTAGAATCTAGCAGAATATAGAATTCAAACTATGATGGAAAGTTTCAGACTCGTCCAGTACTTTGTAGTGAGTAGAAAACGAAGATATATTTTATCTGAAAGCGTATCGTATACTTTTGATAATCTATCCATAGATATTCTTTCAATAGATTTGAAGTTGGTATACTTCGTTCGAACACAGTATCGCTTATGCTTATTTGATAGGAGACAAATGTATGTTATTTTTTTATTTTAGATATTAGTTTAATCAAATTGATCAAAGTATCTTCTCATTAAAATGTATCCGTGTTCCTGTGGTCAAATGTACGAATATCCATTGCAAGTGTAATTAGATTATTCTATGTTGTTAAAATGATTAACTTGATAGTACCCTTGTTTTTCAGAATGGGCTGTACAAAAGCTGATCACTATCAACGACCAAATAGCAATAATAACCAAGTCATTCCATCTCAAGGTCAAAGAGCTAGTGTTCAAACTGAACCAGTAAGTTGATTGTTATTACTGTTGTCAATCTAAATAAAAAACTCGCTTGAATCTCAAAATATGCTTCGATTCGATGACGATTCATCGATATTTATATTTTTTCTTTGTTCTTCCAAATATGATGTTTTTTATTTGATTCGAGAAATTATCAAAGAGAATTAGTCGATAGCTCTTTGTGTCTATGAACAAAAGCGTCTCTCTTACATTGTTTCTAAATAGCCAATGGCCATGAGTAGATAAAAAGAAGAAATATATAAATTTTATTTATGACTGATCGTATTAGTCGACTGAAACTTTTTCTTCATTCTCGTCATTGGATAAGAAAAAAATATTTCCATTTCATTTTTATTCTTCTGGTTATTCTTTCCATGGCAATTCAAACTACTGACACAGTTTCGGTATTCTTTAAAAATTCAATTAGAGAATTATTTTGCTATTCTATGTAGATAAATTCTTTTTATTTATATTTAGAATTACAATTCAAATGTATTACTAAAGGTGATGGAACACCAGCAATTTTTAACAGACATCACAAAACAATTTTTATCAGGTTTCAAAACGGAAGTTGAATGGGCGAATAATGTACAAGAAAAAACAACTGTGTTAATAGCTGACGTTCAACAGATCAAAGTTTAATTTTTGTTGTACCTCAAACCGAATTAAAAATTGTTGATGAGAAGAATATAAAAGATGAACTTAACGTTTTTTTGCTTTTCAATAAGTTTAAACTAGAAGATTAACAACTGATGAAAATAACGAACTATTTGATCTCATTTGTTCATTTAGATAGACAGCCAAAGAACTTTTGAAGATCGTTAGCATACCAGTTAAAACATTCAGTATTTTATTCACGACTACAAGTAACGAATTGAAAGAATATTTATTATATGCAATTGTAGATACCCCTTCTTACTTTCGAATCGAATTGTGAAGTTAAAATTAAAGGACTGTTTCTTGGATAGACCGCACATTTCATTAAATACGAAATCGACGAATGCTTACTAAAATAATTTTGCTGAAAAATTGTCGAATTATTTTTCAGTTCTGTAGTATTCATCGAACAAATTCTAAAAGGGTCAGTTGAAAAGTAAATAGTTGTTCTGTTAAGATGAAGATCAATCTTAAAGAATTTCAATAATTATTAGATAGGCTCGAATTTTGTGCAGAATACGCTCTGATGCTTCCTAAACCAGAAATCCTGAATTTCTGAAATCTGTCAGTCTAAGATAAACTATTACAGTGTTTACCAAATGTTCAATAAAATTATTCATGCCAATAAAAATCAAATATCTGCATATTCGTAGTATTCGAAATAGAATACTTTCAAATGTCTAATTTCAAGTATTTATTTATTTCATTAGATAGATCCTCCAAAAGTTGTGTTTCTTACCGGATATGATTGTCAAATATGATCTCGTGAAAGAAGAATCAATCTTTTGCTCAGATGGGTCTTGACGTAAAGACAACTATTTCGATGATGTTTAAATCATGTTTGTGATTTTCCAAAAAAATGAAAACAACATGTACCATGACTAATCTCAAATCATTTAATGACCAAGAAATGTCAGCTCTATTTCGTATTACTTGGACACAAGATTGAAAATAATAATTCTTCTTATGAGAACATACGAAGAAGTTTTTCTCCACCATAATCAATAATATATTTTGCTTGAATATGCAACGATAAAGACTGATAGCATCCTGTGGTACTGACAGGAATATCTGAATTATTACATATTTGCGTTACTTTCGCATAAAACAATGATGTTCTGTATTGTGTACACACTTACACCACTAGTTTTTGATTCTACTAAAAATTCAGAATTTTTTTCGAGAAATTGAATTTGCCGTAAATTCAAATACCCCAGAATATGTTCAAGACAGTGATTTCGAAACACAAAACTAGACTTTATTGAACCAAAGAAGTGCTTTCTTCGAAAGGGTTCAGATCGATCCTTTGTTTAAGGATGCGCTTATTAGAATACACAAAAACTATTTAGAAATGTATCACAATCCATCACTTTTATCAACAAGTTATTCATGCTACTTTAAATTAAGATTCAAGTTTTCTTCATTCACTGAAATGTTCAGATTGACTTTCTTTTTTGTTCAATTACTTTCTATCTATCGCAATGTCTTCTAATAGATTCTGTGATTGTAGAAATAAAAAATATTTTGTTTGTTAATATAATAAAAATTGTTAGTTTCCTTAAATAAGAATGTATCCAAATGGACATTTATTTTTGTCTCCGTTGTTCTTTTTCTTATGACACACTCGAAAGAAAATATTCAAATATATACTGGTTCTGTCAGACTAGAACGAAGAAAAACAATATTCAACAGAAATAATGAGATGAAAAAATAAAA